GAAAAACAGTCCGAATACGGGAGTATACGAAATCGCATATTCCATTACACTTTAGATATCCGTTTACCCGATACTTGCGTATACTTACGTATTCTTYAAATATACGAGTTCGTATACGAGAATATCAAGACTCGTATACCCAGCTTTTCACAGAGTGATTGCCAATAACGACTACCACTTGTTTCACGATAAGGTCTGGACTAATGATATAGCATTTCAGTATAATTTCCCACAATTTCCATCTCTGATTACGTAAATCGAAGTGTCCATGTTTTTTCCTATTTTTTACATGTTTATACCAATGTATTTATACATGACATCTCTCAAAATATGTTACCGAAAAAACTCTAAAAAACACTAAATCAAAGACTTCCTCTCGTTGTAATACGAATCTCGATTTTCCGTAGCGTCCGTCAATATGGCGTTCTTCTATATGGGCTTTCGATTCCTCGTCGAATACTACCGCACTCAATTCTTTCTTAAACTCATTATTACGACATCTTGATTCAGCACAGTTACATAAAAGATGTAGCTGTGCTCTCTTCTAAAGGGAGAGGAGTTCTGTGCCCTGCCTCTCCCTCTTCTCCTATTTTGAGAGGCTCCTGCTGTGGGAATCCTAAGGTTGGGGCCTCACAAACTGTCGCCTAACCCGCTGGGCAGTGTTATTTGCTAGTCTTGCAGACTATAAGGATAAAGTTAAACAAGAATTAGTATTTTGAATTGATACATACATTGAGCAGAAAGTAGGCAATTTATATATTTTTTATATACTTTATATATTTTATTTTTATATTTCTGAACACAGATCATAAAAACAAAACTTGGAAATAAATTCGGAAATATTAATTTCCTCGTTCCCAAGCACTATAACTTATCTATATTTTGTATTTCATAAGTGCTACGCGGTCCACATATTCTCGTCTTTGCATCATAATTACCAAACATCTATTTCAACACGGCCTGCTTTCAGTCAGACCTCTAGCTCAGCTGATAGAGCATCGGTAGTACAATTCCGAAGGTCGTGGGTTCGATTCCCAGCGAGGTCGGAAATTAATTTTTCATTTTCATAGGGTCTTTCGCCCGCAATAACCTCGTTCCCAAACACTATAACTTATCTATATATTCTCATATTCTCATTATTCTTCATATATGAGGTTTAGAGTGAGAAATTTTTAATTCCTTAACAGGAATAGGCTTATGGATGGGTGTTGGTTTTGGATTCCAGTAATCAAGCTGAGATGTAACATACATTCTGTTGATATTTGATAAAAAGTCATGGAGTTCAAACAGAGCTGCACCCAAATGTCCAYATCCCGTGTCTGCCCTACCCTTACATCTGCGAAATGCAGAATAATTAGAACTATTAGGCTGAAGAATGAACCCAAGCTTATAATGCTTTGTGCTCTCTTGAGTGAGTTCCTTCTGTGTAGGGATTACCTCATAATGACTGAAAATGTGGCCCCATCATTATCCTTGACCTTTTTTAAGGCAAGTGATCTGACATAACCATCTTTAAAGAATATACTCTTTTTCGAGGACCTGAATGATGCAAGCTTTTCCTTGTCATAGTCAGCACTACTCATAATTAGATGATAAATATGCCCATCAAACCAAATGGGGGAAATTTAGAGAAGCCAGTTGATAGCTCTTTCATGTTAAATGGATCAGGAACAATTTTGCCAGGTGTGGTAACGTTAACCGACCATTAATACATTGATTAAGTGAGTCTGCATTTAGATTCATGCTATGAATAGCACGAGCTAAGGTTATAAGATCAGGCTTGTTGTAACCAGAAACTGTAATTCCTCTATTTTGAATATATCCTTTTAACTCTTTAGTATTCATTTTTACAAACGGAGGTGGTTCAACAGATGATGATTGTACAGTATCCTGCTGATGTGGCTGATTGGCAGAAGAATTAGGCTTAACAGGAGGGTGATGTGGCTGTTTGACAGATCAATTAGGCTGAACAGGAGGGTGATATGGCTGTTTGGCAGACGAAGATTTTACAGTAGTAAAAAAACATCCAAAAACTAAAAGAAGAGGTAGAGAAGAAAGTAAGGGCCGAAGKTACTGAAGAATTTAAGAGAAAAGAAGAAACATGTTCGGAATTGGCAGAAGGAAGGAAGCAAGACGATGAATTTATGGATGTTGGCGAAAGCTTTCCTAAGGAAGCCATCGAGAAAGTCAGCGAAGTGAAGGAGATAAACGCTTCAAACATAGTGAAGATGGGCAAGTTTCTTGGTTCGGGAACCTTTGGTCAATGCTATTTGGGTATGTACTGCGGCATACTTGTCGCAATAAAAGAATTCCACCGAACCAATAAAGGCGAGGAGGAAAACCTCAGGAAAGAAGTGAAGCATGAGGCGACAGTTATGAGTGAGCTCGGCGATCATCATGGCCTTCCACTGCTTTTTGGAGTCGATTTGCAGAACCACCCCTACAAAATCGTGCTCCAGTTTCACGGCGAAAAAGATCGCAGTTTAACCATCCACAAAGCAGCAAAGCAGAAAAAGCTCACCAACGACGAATGGTTAGACGTGGTTGACGGCGTCGGAAAAGCCCTCGAACACGTGCATTCCAAAGGGTTTTGCATAACGACCTAAAGTCCAACAACATTGTTTTGGAAAAAAGAGAGAAATGTTATAACCCAGTTATAATAGACTTTGGGAAAAGCACCAGGATCGACTACCCACCAAAGAGAAAGTTCTTCAACGTAGAAGAACAGAAGATGCATTCCAGAAAGTATCCTCACATTGCACCAGAAGTTGTGAATGGATCTGGTCCAAGAAGTATATCAAGTGACATATACTCATTCGGAGTAATGATTGAATTCCTTTGCAATACCGTCGGCTTGAACTTGTTATTCTTCAATCGATCTTGGTATAAAAGTCGTGCTCTACACACTAGTCCGAAACTTAGGCCTTCCATTAGGCAACTCATTCGATAATATTATGTTTATAACAAGAACAATACTTTCCTAGCTTATTTCGTGCCTGTCTCGGTGGTTTAATAGACCGGTTTACAGGTAAATTTCTCATGGCTCAACTTCGGCTTGCATACCAGCGAGTAATGAATCCTTTTGAATTTTGAATTTGACTGCAGTCATAAACGTGAAAATTCCTTACATTACAACGGGCTGTAGTTGAACTCTAAAGAATAAATCACACGCTAAAGACTGACATGAGGCTGTAGTTGAGCGAAGAGATTTGTCTAATGGTGTATTTGACTGTTTAGGGATAAATTTGAAGTTTACTGAAGATTTAGGTTTGCTATCGAATTTTGATAGTATCGGTTCGGTTCTGTTTGATTAGTTTTCATTTCATGATATTAGAAGCAAGAACAGACTAATTTTAGTAGTTTACAGTATAAGATCATAAGGTATTATTATACTATTTATAATTGTTATACATCGTTTTTTTTAATAATTATAATTCGTAAACATAATTTAGGAAACTTTTCTATTGTAATCTTATGTAATCTGTGGTTCAGTATCACTCTGCCAAGGTGTTGCTAATTATGACGCCTTCTTGGATTAAATAAATAGACATCTAACCAACTCAAATGCTCAGGTTTCATAGTTCTTTGTTTTAGTAGGGACATAATTTGTACCAACACAACGGGGTGCCGCTTTCCTGAACTAAGCTAACCTCCTCATATATACATGAAGACCCCTTGTTTAACTAAGAATTGAAAAAGTTGTGTTTGTGAATTAATGATGCTGCGAACTATTCCAGAGCAAGGTTTTATTTCATTAATTACATATGAATTAGTACACATCATTAATAACTGATTTGCAATACAAAGTCATACTTCATATGCTGTTAGTGCCCATTCGGGACCTCCAGTTGGCTTTGGGTGTCTTTAAGGCTCCCCAATTTTGCGCTTTAAAAGCATGGGTAGGCCTCGCTCTGACAGCCTCCTTTTTGCCTTTCGGTCCAAACTTTCCCTTGGACGCTCTCTTCTACTTCTTTTTCTTCTCGTGATAAAGTGGCTTTTAAGGGCAGCTGAAATTAAAACATATACCCATATACTAAAGTTCAGCACATAATCAATAACAATTCAACATAATACAATTTCATTTGGCACCTTATACTGAAAAGTACATTAGTAATGCACCTATCAAATYATTATTATTATTATTTTGATGTCAGTTGAATCAAAAACTGCTTTATAACCCTGGGGCATTTGAATATTTTTGAAGATGTTGTTCAAATCCCCATCCTTTGTCTGCACCGCCCCCAACCCCACCAGCGTTAACTTTCATAGGTAAAAAATATTTGAAAAAATACATAATTTAGTTGTTATATCAAGCATAAGATATTTGTGACATTCGTCATCTTGGTAAGTGATTTTGCCCTATATCATTTTGACGTCACAGCTTGTCTATTACAAACACGTAAAAGAATATGAACTAATGTTGCTCTTTAGCTGAATAGATCTAATATGTCTGATTTTTTGAACAGTTACACGCCCTTATTTATCCTACACTATTGTTTATAAACAATACAATTTTCATAATGAAATTGGGCAATTCTCAGTGGAAAGTTGTCAATTATTTATTCATTCTGGGTCCTTCTGTTGTTCCTTATATTCTGTCACCATTTCCTGTAGTGTCACCTCAAGGAATATTTTGCGCTGAAAAAAAGGTATATGTATGTGTACGATAGTTATATAAAAATTCTATTTATATTCATATTTTTGTGTGTGTATGTAATAAAGAACTGCCGTATTAGCGATTCAGCAATGAGGTTTGTTAAAAAAACACTGATTCCTTGACGAAATAAAGAAGCAGATGACCGAAATGAAAGCAAGATGCTCCCGTGATTTATTTATTCGAATCATACTTTTTTCTATAGAACAAATTACAGATATGAATACAGATATATTTAGATATTATTACAGATATGAATATTTTCGAATGTTACACTTTATAGTTCCATATAAATACTTCTGATTAAAAATTGCAAAGAGCAGCGTTTGCAAAACACTACTGCTATGGTTGCCAGAGCGCAATTAAAATAATCAAATGAAGAACAAACGTACCTTTCCAGATATAGGGCGGTAGTTTTTAACGCCATCAGGATACATTTTCTGACGGCGGTCAAGACCTCTTCTGGGTAGATGAAGGCCGCGCTATGACCAACTCCACGCTGCCGGTAAAATACGAAAATATAAAGGCTTTTTTAGTAAGAATTTTCTAATAAATGATAATAATATTTCTTCTTATATATTCAAGATTGAATAATGACCAGCAAGTGCAGGAAACTTACCGACAAGAAGTCGAACAACGAATTGTAAATATATTTACGTACTTCTGCTTGTGTCGGCAGGACCTCCTTTTTGTCGTCCCTCACTGGGCCAGACATTTCTTTTGCGCTGGACAATAAGTCTTATAAGGCTTCTGGGAGGATCTTATTTTCCCTCCCAGAAGGACTTCCACTTTGGATGAAATCTCTTGTTTCTAAATGGCACTTAAGTTGTTGTCTAGAAAGTTTGAGGTAATGCTTAGACATTCTGTGATGCTGCATGTTGTTTTGGCTGCAGCAAGGTCCAATTTTGTTTTCTTCTCAAACATTTCATTTGTTGATAAGACTGGCTCAGGCTTTTCAAATAATATAATAGCCTGTCTTGAAAAAGCTCTAAAAAAAATAACATTACTTACAAAGGGGGTTATTCGATCATTCCATTTTCTTTGACCATCAATAAATATTTACTGAGATGTATAAATTTTTTGTATTTAAGTATTAAATACTTTATAACATATTTTTGCAAAACAAAAATGCTCTCATTCATTGAATTAGGGATGAATCAATGAATGAATCAATGAATGAATCAATGAATGAATCAATGAATGAAGGAATGGCGAAAATATAGATATAATTCCATCACTAATTTTTAATTAAGAGAAGTAATGTATGTATACTGTGATTTCGTAAAAAAACAATGGTTATAGAAGTAATCATAATTCTTACTTTGTTATGTAATAACTGGTATCGATAACCTAATAACAAAGGAGATTTGTAGCTTCTGTTAGCGGTAAACATTGTGGATCTAGACTTGCATCGATTTGTCCAARTCACGCGACATACAGAATGATCACGCACCAAACTGTATTTTGACATATGCTAATGAGCTTGTGCGACATCAATATGACAGATGACTAATTTGCATAATGCTGTGACATCACGTGAAAACCAAGAATAAGCACTACATCATATTACATTGTTGCGCCACGGTAAGCGATTTAAGTGATAAAATACAATAAATACACACATTCAAAACCATGAACACGTTTACTTGTGGAAGCACATGGATTACAGGTCTTCTTTGAATGTCATTGCCGACGTGAAGTTTGACATTTGACATGAGCCTTACAGTGAGTAGATTTCAATTCTAAACACTGTCAAGTTATTTTCACTTAGAAAAAATGCAGCATAATGAAATCCATTCCTTGAGCCAATAGAGTAGAAATAATATTTATATTGATCAACTGTCTTGGTGTATATATCATGTTTTAGAAGATATGAAATCCCTTCCTTGCTCTTTAAGCTGAACGGTTTTACCTTTGTGTCCTCAGCACTGGCGATGGAATTCGTGATTCCATTCTGCTGCTTCTGCTGCCTTGATTTCTTTGTATAGAAAAAATGAGAGTCATTAATACAACAAATTATAACATACACTAGTTGCAACTATAGTGATTTTTGAACCCTACTGAGAAGAGATATGGTTTTRCCTTGGTGTCCTCAGCACTTGGGATGGACATCTTGATTCCATTCTGCTGCTTCTGCTGATTGTGCTGGCTTGGTTTCTTTGTATAGAAAAATGAGAATTAAATAAATACAACAAATTATAACATACACTAGTTGTATTTATAGTGATTTTTGAACCCTATTGAGAAGCCTTATATACAGAAACTTCGAGAATGTGCAGGATGCGTACTCTAGAATATTTATATGACAAGTATAACATTATGAATACTCTTGCAAAACTTGGTACGTGGGGTATGTGTTAGTATTCTCTGTGAATACTACAGGCATACTTCAAGTATGATATGAATCTTGAATATCCTTGAACAATAAAAGTACCGAGGGGATATGCGATTCTTGAATACTATAGAATATTAGCTCTTTGGCACAGTGATGTTGTCCCAATTGTTGCAAAAGTAGTTGTTCTGGTGGTCCGACAGTGCCTCAAAAGTACGCATTTGGGAAAAAAACGCTGTGGGGTTCGCAAGAAAACTCCTTATAAATGCTCTTTATTGCAGCAACACTTCTTCCAACTGCCGTGTTTTCCTTTAAAGACATAAATCTATAAATAAAATAAATGTCATTGAAAAATTTCAATATTTTAAATTAAATAGTTTGGGTATCTTATAATTTACCTTCATAAAAGCTCTCAAAACACCATCAAACAAAAGCTACAAGTGTCTGTCATCAAAGTTATGCACTCCGTGATCGATACCATACCACATGATTGACATCGTTTGTAAAATGTTGTTGCATCTAGAACTGCTTCATTCATTCCAGCCGTTTTATACTCTTCTTAGCTTCGATGATATGTCCTTCTCGAACCCCGGCTACATTTTTTCAAATAGGTGTATTAG